TATATATATAACGATGGAGTTGTGCCAGTTGGACCAACGATGTTTAACGGAGATGTTAAGTCAGTATATCATCCTTATATGTAGTTGATTTACAACTTTTGAAAGTTATTTGTTTAATATTTTTGAAAGATTGATACCATTTGGWTTTATGCGTTGTTATACTAACAACGATTTTCTCACTAGATCTAAAGGTCTAACTCTCATTTTGTTTTAAAAAATGTGCATTTCAAGACAGTTATATCCAGAAGGTAAAGGGAAAGAAAAGATGTGATATTTGGTGATCGAAATGTTTACATGATGCTTATATGCGGGACCAATATTTTCTTTCTGAAGTTTGTTGTTATAAGGAATTAAGAAATTGTTGTGTACACGTTGTGTAAGAAAGTTTGTAGTAACTTGTTATAATCGGGTTTTATTTTTGGAAAGTTTGGGGTTATTTTTGAATAACGATGAAAAGTTAAGGGGTGTGATGTGGATTTTGGTTTAAATCTTTCAAACCTACCGCCTTATCCCGAAAACATCTATATGTTGCATGTGCTTCTTTTCTTTCTATTTATTAGAAAGAGAAAAGAAAAGTTGGTTAACTATTTTTGGTTTCCTGGATTCGAAGAAATAGAAGTAGAGAAGAAGAAGAATTTGATTACATGATTTTTATCTGATAAAACATTGATGTTTAAAGTCTTCATAAACTTGTGATTTCAAGGTGAGTTTCAATTTTTAAAAGTTTTATTTGATGTGTTTTCAATATGAAACCATATGGTTTCGAAGGTGTATTTGGACACAAGTATATGCTATGTGTTAGCTTTAATAAGTTGCACTTACGCACAATTTACTTGTAATCTTGAATTTCAAGTAATATGTATCAATAAACAGTACTTCATGTATAAAAAATGGTTATTAATGGTTTTTGTCAAAAATTTTATAATATAGTATAGATAATGTTAGATATATGATATTAAAGGGGCTTTTGATTTGCAAAATATAATATAATATAGTGGAACTGGAATCCATTAAAAAAATAAAAATTTAGAAGAACTGGAATGATTTTTTTATAAAGTTTGAACACACATTTAGTTAATAAATATTAGAATGAAATCTCTCAAAAGAACTGAAATATGCATGTGTAAATTCGTGGTATGAAGTTTTTGGAATTTGAATGAAAATAATAATAAATGAAGTACTTTTTTTTGCATAAATTGAAAGTACTATAAAATGATAATATTAACTGGAGATAGTGGTGGCGGTGGTGATGACGACAATGGTGGTGTTGTGATGGTAGTGGCGGTTGGAGGGGGGGGGGTTTAAGGGGTGGCAGGCGGCGGCCATGGCGGTTGTGGCAATGACAGTGGGATGGCGGTGGTGGCAGTGGCAACAACCACGACAGTGGGATGGCGGTGGTGGCAGTGGCAACAACCATGACAGTGGGGGTGGTTAGGGGTAAGGCGACGGTGCATGATAGGGAGGTCAGGTGATGGTGGTAGCGGCGTTGGATGTAGTGGCGATATCGTTAATGGTAATGACGTGGTAATGGTGGTAGTGTGACGCGATGATGAGAGTCATGTATATAGTAGACCGGAGTTTTTTGTAGGGTAGTTTGTATTTTTGAGGAAATGAAATTGAATTCCATCATGTATGCAACAAAATGACGAAATTCAAGAACAATTAAATCTATGAAATTCAATCCATCCTATGTGCAAACCAAACAATTGAATGAAAATTGGTTAACATAATTGATCATTCCAATTCTTTCGACTTCATAAGAATACTACAAACCAAAAAACAATGTCTTGAATTTTATACATGTATACATCACTACCAAACAGGGGGTTATTTCCGGCGGCAATATCCGCCAGAAATCAGGGGGAAATTAATCCTCCTCCTCCCGCCAAACGTCGATCCTCCGCCTCCCGCCATCGATCCTCTTCCTCCCGCCATCGCTCCTCCTCCGCCAAACGTTGATCCTCCGCCGCCCGCCATCGCTCCTCCTCCGCCATCCGTTGGCGCTGACTTTGTTCCTGTAAGTCTTTAAAGCCCAATACGTTCCATTAAAGCCCAATAATGTTCCATTAAAGCCCAATACATTCCATTAAAGCCCAATACGTTCCATAAAAGCTCAATACGTTCCATGAAAGCCCAATACGTTCCACAAAAGCTTAATACGTTCCATGAAAGCCCAATACGTTCCATGAAAGCCCAATACGTTACATTAAAGCCCAATTGGTCCATTACAACCCAATACAATCCACTAAAGCTCAACTAACATCCATTAAACCCCAATAGAACATTTAAACCCCAATACGATCCACTAAAGCCCAATACGTTCCACTAAAGCCCAATACGTTCTACTTAAGCCTAATACGTTACATGAAAGCCCAATACGTTCCATGAAAGCCCAATACGATCAATTAAAGACCAATATGATCCATTAATGCCCAATCAGTCCATTACAACCCAATACGGTCCATTAAAGCATAACTAACATCCTCTAAAGCCAATTAGAACCATTAAAGCGCAATACGATCCATTAAAGACCAATACGATCCATTAAACCCAATACGGTTTATTAAACCACATCTAACATCCGCTAAAGCCTAATACGATGCGTTAAAGACCAATATGATCCGTTAAAGCCCAATACGATTCATTAAAGCCCAATACGATGCATTAAAGCCCAATACGACCCTTTGAAGCCTAATAGGTCCTTTAAACCCAATACGGTTTATTAAACCACAATTAACATCCACTAAATCCCAATACGATGCATTAAAGTCAATAGAACTGTTAAACCCCCGTGCGATGCATTAAAGCCCAACTAACATCCTATAAAGCCCAATAGAACCGATAAAGCCCAATACGATACATTAAGAAAAGAAAAGTTTGAAAATTGGGGAAAATGAAAATCCGCCGGTAATATCTATCCAATTTAAAAAAAAAAAGGAATTAACTATAAGGTATAAACTGTAAGTTCTAACAATAATGCACTACGTATATGCTATTTAATAATATTATTAAATAAAAAAGTATTTAATATTGAACTTATTTTGAAGGTATTGATGAGACTATTATAACAGTATAATTTGAAAAAAAAAAACATATTTTTGATATATTTTAGTTAATATACAATTATGTATATTAATATGATAAGCGTGTAAAACGAAAAACAAAAAATAAGGATTGTAAAGTAAATTAAATAATTCATTGTAAATGTATAACATATAAGTTAAAAATAAAAAAAATAATCAATATCATAGGTTGGACTGTTGGAGGTTGTCTGGAGCTTTCAATCGTGTACGTAATGCTTCTTTCTTTTACTCCTTAAAAGTCGACACTTTTACCACGTACTTTATAGTATTAAAAAGATACTTGTGTAATGCAGCAAAATATATTTAAATTTCATAATATGATTTTATATAATTTTAAAAAAACAATGATGATCTTATGTTTGAATAAAATATAAAACTAAAGACCTCATAAAAATTTGAAAATTTTATATCAATATTTATATCAAGTTAACTATTTAAAAAATTTTCTTTTTAATTTGTTAATTCAGAATTTTATTATAATTTAATTTAAATTTAATAATGAAGTAATTTATTTTGGTTTAATAATATATTAATTAAGTATTATGTTTGAACTTAATGATTATCCTAATTATATTTTAGATTTATATGTTTAAAATGTGATGTTTATACTATATTTGATTATGTTTATCTGCAGTTAGTTACACAAATTCAAACATAGACTTTAATAAGTTGTACTTATACATAATTTATTTGTAATATTGAATTTTAAATAGTAGTTGATGCGTCAAAAATGATTTTTAAGAGTTTGTCTCACATGCTTTATAATATAACTAGAAGCATGCTTCCGCAATGCAACGACTACGAGATATATCTCGATTCTAATGTTCGTTTTAGTATTCATCTATGTCAATTTTATAATACGGTTTTATATGATTTTAAGAAAAATATAATGTTTTTATATTTGAATAAAATATAACATTGAAAACCACATTGAAAATTCAAAAATAATATATCGTCGACCACCACCACCACCTTCTCCATGACCGAAACCACCTCCACCACCACCGCTTCTATCATCAATTATATCAAAAAAAAAAAAAAATTGGTACGATTATATATGTATGTATTCATTTATATGAAAATTGTGTAAAAATATTTATAAATGAAATTATTTAAGTATTTACTTTATTTCTGTTAATTATAATTATTATATAATATTTAAAATCATCAAATAACTTGGGGGTAACTTGTTTAATTCTGTCAGATACAGTTCTAGTCGTACCAAACACTAAACATACACTTGTTTTGTCCAGTCCTGTCCGATCATATCTACGTATCAAATGTTATCTAAACGACGAAGCAATTATTAATTATTAAAGTACCATGTGTTAAAAATGATTTATCGTCAAATAAAATAAAGGGAGTATTAGTGGCATCCCTTAGTAGGGGTCCTAAATGCCTTAGGAATTAAATCACGAGTAAAACACATAAACTATGAAAATCACTCAAATAATACAATATATTATTATTATTATATTGAATCTTAGGTTGTAATAGGACCCACCATTTTGTTCTATTGAATTTACCTTTTTTTTTTTAAAAGCATGTATGTCAGTAGTGGGTTGGTTTTAAAAATATCCCTATTTATATATGATGGAGAAATTAGGCAGCTTTATTTGAGATGGTACAAAAAATTGTGAAACATGCCTTCACCTACGATCCGATCTTGAATATGAATTATTTGGTTATATAAGTGAGTCTGGTTTAGCCATTTCACGACACAATATGGACCCTCTTTCATTATCTTTCCGTTCAACCGTCTCAACCCGACCACCACTACCTCTGCCGTTATCGCCACCACCTTCTCCATCTCGTGTTTTGTCCATCCGAAACGACGAAAAGCTGCAAACCATCACAAGCACCACCAAGAGGTCTAGTCAAGATCGATTGAAATGGCCAATAATCACCTCGAACACTAAGAAACGCGTTAGAAAATCAGTGAAGATCCATCGGTTGCTACTTTCCATGATCTTCAATGCATTTGATGATATCATAAACAAGTTCATAGATCCACCAATTCGGGATTCGGTTAACCCGATGCATGTCTTGTTGGATAACTTTTATCCGGTTGACGAACTCCCTCCTACCGACTGTGAAGTCAGTGCGGGTATGCTTCCGAGTTGCCTTGATGGGGTTTACGTTCGTAATGGACCTAACCCGCAGTTTCTACCACGAGGCCCGTACCACCTCTTCGATGGCGATGGCATGCTCCATGCTATTCGTATCTCTAAAGGAAAAGCCACGTTATGTAGTCGATATGTGAAGACAAACAAGTATAACATAGAGAAAGATGCGGGGTTTCCCATGATCCCAAATGTTTTTTCCGGTTTCAATGGTTTGACCGCCTCTGTTGCTCGGATGGCAGTCGCAACAGGGCGGGTTTTGGCGGGCCATTTTGATCCGTCTAAAGGTATTGGCTCGGCCAACACTAGCTTGGGCTTTTTTGGCAATAAGCTGTATGCTTTAGGTGAATCAGATCTCCCTTATGCTGTTAAACTTGCACCAGATGGTGATATAATCACCCTTGGTCGCCATGACTTCGATGGCAAGCTTTCCATGAGGATGACGGCTCACCCAAAAATAGATCCAGTAACCAAAGAAGCTTTCGGTTTTCGCTACAGTCCGATATCGCCTTTCCTAGTATTTTTCCGGTTCGATGAAAAGGGAGAGAAACAAGCTGATGTCCCGATCTTCTCAATGAGAACTCCATGTTTTCTCCACGACTTCGCCATCACCAAAAACTACGCCATTTTTTCAGAGAACCAGCTCAAGATGGAGCTATTTGGCAATGGACCCCTGATCAAGGCAGACCTCAGGGAAGTGCCTAGGGTTGGGGTGATCCGCAGGGATGCTAAGGACGAGTCGAAGATGAAATGGTTTGAGGTGTCAGGGTGGAATATCCTGCATACCATCAATGCGTGGGAGGAGGACGGCGGAGATACGGTGGTGATGGTGGCGACTAACATATTATCGATTGAGCATCTGTTGGAGAGGATGGATTTGATCCATGCATCGGTAGAGAAGCTAAGGATCAATATGAAGACGGGGATGGTATCAAGACACCCTCTTTCAACTCGCAATCTTGAGTTAAGCGTCATCAACCCGGCTTTTGGCACCATAAAAAACAGGTTATTATGCATTTTAAATAAAATATTCAATAGAAATAAAATCTATACTATATTATAAAACATTTGACAAAAAAATTTAAAAATCATTTTTTATGCGTAAAGTACTGTTTATTTATGCATATTACTTAAAACTCAAGATTGAAAGTACATTGTGCGTAGTACAACTTATTAAAGCTCTATATTTGAATTCGTGTAACTAACTGCAGATAAACATAATCAAATACAAGATAAACATTTCATTTTAAATATAAAAAATCTAAAATATAATTAAGATAATCATTGAGTTCTAACAAAATATTTAATTATTATCTTTATAAAATGTTATATTATTAAACCAAAAATAAATTATTTCGTTATTAA